AGCACAAGCAGGGGGAGCTGGAGAGGGAGAAGCAGGCTCCCCGCTGAGCAGGGAGCCTGATGCGGGGCTCGATCCCAGGACCCTGGGATCATGACCTGAGCTGAAGGCAGCTGCTTAACCAACTGAGCCATCCAGGTGCCCCTTATTTCACATTTTTAAGTAAAATGTATCATTATTATTATCTTAAAGCACAAACTTGCATGATTCAAATTCGCATAAAATTCATTTTACTATATCTACTGTTTTGGAAGTTCGAGAAATTATTGTAATCCAGATTCCATAATTTGTAGTTTAGAATATTTATATCCCTTAGCATAAATCAGTTTATTCCTCTAATTTTTATTGAATATGCATTATGTACCAGGTTATGTTAAGTGCCAAGAGAGACACATGAACTTCCAATTCATGTCCCTTCTGGTGAGAAACACTATCTAGTTGAAGAGAGATATAGAAGTGAACTGATACCATTAAATGGGCTTGCTCTCAAGAGTCAGCACCATGTGTGTTCAAATTCCAAGTCTAGGTCTCAGATTTTACATGTTTAAAGTAGTATACTGTGTTAAATAAAAGATATTATTAAAATTTTAAAAAATAAATATAAAATCTACCATAATTATAATAAAGTGTGAATGCTATAATAATTCAAGTTCAAAAAGTGAAGAGGCATCAGGGAAGGAAGTGGCTAACCTAATGCAGGGAAATTTCCTCAAAGAAGGTAACCTTTGAGTTTAATTAAGCAGATAAAGTAGAGAGAGAAAGACATCTCAGGTAGAAGGAGAAAGCATCCATAAAAAAGCATGGTGTGTTAAGGAATAGCATGAAGTTCAAACTGCTTAGAATCTTGAAGGGAAGGTGAAAAAACAGATGGGGACGATAATCACTTTATAAGGTGCCTGAAGAGGAGCAAAGAGAGTCGTCAGGTGAGAAGCAAGGGTGGAAACTGTGTGATTCCATGTGTAATGTCCACATAGCCCACACATCCGGTATAAAACAGTGCTCATCACACTGAGCCCATGTGATTATATTAATTTATTATTTAAGATGTAAAATAGTGAATAGAGAGAGAAGTGATACTTACATGCTTGTTTATTGTCCAGTCAGTGCACAAGAAGATTCTTCCTAATATCCAGAGAGCATATCTTCCTGTTCAGGTCCAGATACCATCTCTTTGTTGGTATATCTTCTTTATTCAAATGCATCTCATTCCTGGCTAATTTTCTATCTGCCATCTCAAGAAAAAGGTGGCAATGCTGTTACTATTCATGATGTGATGGCCCTTTGGAGCCTTATTTGTATTGAAACAAATAAATCTCCCTCCTTGCCTCTGTAGTTCTCAATTATCGTCTATTTAATGCAGTATTGGTTACATCATTATTCACAATGATGCATCATTCATCATGTCACCATGAATTCTGGCTTCCAGTGATTCCCTTGAATGTTATCATTGTGCTTCATTGATGATAACCACAAATGCAAGTCTCTGGTCACCTTAAATTTATCATTATGGGGGCGCCTGGGTGGCTCAGTTGGTTAAAGCAACTGCCTTCGGCTCAGGTCATGATCCTGGAGTTCAGGGATCGAGTCCCGCATCGGGCTCCCTGCTCAGCGAGGAGCCTGCTTCTCCCTCTGACCCTCCCCCCTCTCATGTACTCTCTCTCATTCTCGCTCTCTCAAATAAATAAATAAATCTTTAAAAAAAATTTATCATTATGACTTTCTTAGCATAAACATAGATCAGCACATCTTCCACCCATATTTTCTACTGAACTCTTAGATCATAATCACTGCATTTCTAGGAATGCAATCTCTTTCAATGTTAACTGCACTCCTGGTTTCCACACACAGCCACCAACAGGGATGATAGGTGAGGGCCCTGTGGTGAAGCAAGAAGAGTGATTCCATTCCTATAAGGGATATTTGGCAGAGTTTAAGATATTTGGCAGGGAAGCATGATATAACCAAACTGACAGAGGCAAGAGAGGACATCAACTGGAAAGGCCCAGTGGCATTGCAGACCAATTGTCTCCAAAGCCCTTGGAAGAAATAGATATGTCCACTCCTGAAGACTTGATGTGGAGTTTGTGGAGGGACTGGAGTGACCATCCTGGGTGCCAGGGGAAGGGAGTACATAAAGGACTCCTGTCACCCCCTACCACCTTTGCATATAGTAGACAGAGGCTATCCTATTGGAACACATACAGGAAAAATCTGCTAGGTAAGCCCATGCATGCAGCTCAAGCCAAAAGTCAGTCAACCTCCCAGGCCCTATATTCATCTTGTGTCCAATGTGAGTGAGTGAGTCACCCAAAACTCACCAGTCACAACCTCACTGAAGAAGGTAGGAGAAAAATGGAATTAAGTAACTTTGAAAAATAAGGTTTTGACTGGAAATTATAAGGCATATAGACACTGTACTCTAGTTGGTAAATTGTTTTATATGGAGGTATGGGTCAATAATTTTGTATCTGGGGTTGAACAAATAAGTACATGCATGGTAGGTAATGGGAGCCAAGTTTCTCACTATCAAAAAGGGAAGTAATAAATATGCAAGAAAGGAAGGCTTGAGGGATGCCTGGGTGACTCAGTCGTTAAGCGTCTGCTTTCGGCTCAGGTCATGATCCCAGTCCTGGGATCGAGCCCCGCATCGGGCTCCCTGCTCCACAGGAAGCCGGCTTCTCCCTCTCCCACTCCCCCTGCTTGTGTCGCCTCTCTCGCTGTGTCTCTCTCTGTCAAATAAATAAATAAAATCTTAAAAAAAAAAAAAGAAAGGAAGGAAGGCTTGGATGAACTTTGTGATTCTGGGAATAGTCAGAGACATCAGTATGAACTCATAGGTAGATAGATAGATAAATGATGATAGATAGATGATAGATAGATAGATGATAGAAAGATAGATAGATAGACAGATAGATACAGAATAATTACAGGTATGTGTGTGTACATGGGTTAGTACACAAACCCACATTTCTTAGCTCTCTTCCCTGAGAGAGTCTAGAAGTGGTGAGACCTCATTAACAAGTACAACCAGTGCTCAGATTATTGTTTAAACACCATTATCTAGTCGATAGAACCAGAACTTGAAGAAATGGCTGTTTCCAGGTCTGGGGAAGGGAAAATAACAAGATGAACTTGGATCATCTCAAAGTGCCAGAAAGTAAAGAAGTACTCAAGAAACAAAATATGGGGGGCCAGTCAGAGGGACACAGAAGCCAAACTAAAAGCACTCACAAAGGCCAAAGCTGAAATAATTTGAGCAAAAAAATACATTATGTAGCATTGAATTATAACCCAAAGTACAAAGTAAATATACATGAATTCATACTAATATACAGTGAATAAATAAATAAATGGAGTGAAGTGACAAATCTTTCCTACAGAAGGATTCTAAATAATATATGTTAACACTCCTCCTTCGAGGAACTTCATCCTCTCCCTCCCTCAGTTTGAGTGTAGGCTAGATTTAGTGACTGCCTTCCAAAAATAGAGTATGGAAAGGGAAAAATAGTAACTTTAGAGTAGAAAAACCTGGCAAACACTACCTTAACCATGTGCTCAATCCTAACATCCCTGGCAATAAATCATATGAATATCATGTGCTCCTTCATATGAAAGGAAGAGAAGAGCATTTCTCACACACACACACACACACACACAGAGACACACACTCTCCTGATTCCCTCCTCCAGCAAGGCTTCTCCAACCTGGTTAAGCTTCTTACACTGTTCATGTATTGCCATCCTAAACTTCCTTACATTTTTTTGAGGCTCAGTGTTTTTTTTCCAGTTCAATTAACCATCCTTACAATCATCTCTATCTTCTTTGTCCCTCACATTTCTTAGTCCTTAGTAAGGAAAAGCCTATACCAGTTTTCATTCTTTTATCAGAATTATGATAATGTTAAAATATTCCTTTGCATGTTTATGATCCATAACTCAGAAGATCATTAATGTTTCTTTTAATCAGCCAGCCCCTAAAGAACTAGACTGAAGTGGGAAAAGAGAGAACAGTGGGACATTCACAAAACCTACAAAATTTCCAGGATGGCAATACATCTGTGAAAAATAACAGTCCTGGACAATAATGTTAGATTCTTTTCATTTTTTATTAATTACAGCACAGAGAAAAGAGGCAAAACGTTTAAAGAAATTTGTGTTCTTTAGACAGAGGGTTGGTTTTACACCAACAGAAAAGAAAAACAGATGAATAAGCTCTAGGTCTTCATTTCTCTTTCTTTCTCTTATTCTCAGGGCAGGCTGAAAGACAAAAAGACAAATATAAGGACTGTTTGTAAAATGCTATGAGTTTTTGAAATCTATTCAAATGAATGTTGAATTGCTTAGATTGTCTTCCTGCAATTTCCACCAAAGAAAATCATTCAGCCTGTCCTGGACTCTGAATTCTTCTGTTGGGCTGGGGGAGAGGACACACCAATAATATTGTAAAGTCCTCTCTTTGTCACTGATGTCATCAGCTCCTCAGGTTTCAAAGTCCCAAGCTTTTCATCATCACTCCTCAGAGTCACTTGCTTAACACCTACTTCTTACCTAAATTAATTACCAATAAAACAAGTGTCTCTCAAAGACCTTTCAGAAGAAAATCTTGCCATTTAGGATGAGAACAAATCACACTTTGAAAAGATCAAATTTACAGGAGATATGAAGTTGCTTCCTCACTTGAATGCACAATATGTAGGTATTCTCAGGTGGGCAAAGAGTAAGTGAAAACTTCATAGTGGGAACAGACCTCAGAGTTTGGAAAATATGAAAATAATTCATGCTAGAAAACAGTCGGACAATTTGTTTTAAAAAAGAGAGTTGATACTATCTTTTTTAATTTCCCACAAAATATTACAACCAAAATGGGTGAAACATGTTTATGTTCAAACATTTAAATTTTAAAGTGGGCCTCAGTAGCAAGTTATTCACTATAAAGTGCAAGTTCACATAAGGTAGATCTGTCATACTCTCCAATGAAATTAATCTGTTACTGGGCTGTTGGATTGAACCATGTGAAATCGTTGCTATTCAACTGTCTTTTACCTTAAAAAATGCACTTTCATATGGTCCAGCCTAATACCTAGAAACCCCACTGCTAAGCCATTGCTCAGTTGAATGATTCTGTCTACTGTGTCACATTAGGTCAGAACAGGACACTGGTTAACTCTCAAGCTTTGGTTTGAATTTTGAATTGTGGCTCCACCCCTCACGAGCTGGGTGGTCCTTGGGTAAATTATGGAACCCATGTCTATCTGTGCCTTCATGTTCTCATCTGAAAAATGGGAAAAATAATGACACTCAACTTAGGCAACTATTTTGAGAATTAAGTAAGTTAATACACATAAAGATCTTAGAACAGTGACTGGCACTGGTCTATATGGCTCTTGGTAAATGATTGGTCAACTTTTGCTATTTTAATAGTAACTATTATAATTACTTTTTTAAAACAAAAATCCAAAGTATAGTTACCTGAGATGCTTGTGATGGTGTTCTTTTAGGCTAAGGCAGCTTGAGCTTTGGCAACAAGTTTTGGACCCTGAATATCAAGAAATGACAGATTTGGGGAAAATATTAGCATTACTATTAAGATGAAAAGTTGATACTTATACAGCCATTTGTAATTACAAACTAATTTTACATGAGTCACATTCTTTAATTCCAGTTTAGTACTAGAATCTCTACAAGGAAGCTTACTGACACCCATTGTTCCCAAAGGAATAAAAACATTACCCTCAAGTCATAGAGGGAATAATAAATGATTCAGACATTTAAATATAAACTTCCTTCCTTAACCTATAAAATCAAACTCAGATTCAACCAAATCACAAACCAGCATTTTTCAAGAACATGTTTCAATAAATTAATGTTTGGCTCAAAGACTTGAGCCTTACAAATATTTCTATCTATATTCATAAACATCACAACTTTGGAAACAGAGCAAATACTATGAAGATTTACTAATATACTCCAGTGCAGCAGGAGATTAAAAAAAAAAATGAGAGCTATTTAAGTAATTTTGTCAGATAATTTTGTATGTGGAATAAGATTCTGGTTCGGAATGTACAGAGTGTCCTTCAGATATATAAACCCCTAAGCCCTGGTCAGATCAAATGCGACAAGAAAGGAAATGAGCCATATTGCAATGAAGAGACTCCAGTACCTCCTCGGCAAAGCAGGCCTCTTTGTTTTCAGCTGCACAGCACTTCTCTACAAAGGCTCCAAAATCCCCCATAACAGTTTTCAGTTGTTCCTCAGTTGCTTTGGGCTTGTGTTTCACCAGCTCAGCAAGTGCACTGCATTTGAATGAAAACAAAACAACAACAACAAAAATCAGAAAAAAAAGTTTACTTACATAAAGAAAGTAATGGAATGAGTAAATCTCGGGATTAAAAGGCACAGCATAGGGAATATAGTCAGTGGTACTGTAATCATATTGTATGGTGACGGATGGCAGCTAAACTTGTGGTGAGCACAGCATAATGTATAGACTTGTCAAACGACTATGTTGTACACCTGAAACTAATTTAACATTGCGTGTCAAATACACTTCAATCTTTTTAAAAAAAGGAAAAAGAAAAGTGGAGATGATTAACATAAGAATAAAAAAAATAAAAAAGAAAAGAAAAGTGGAGATGGTAAAGGCAGTAGTAGTATTGTTGAAGATTATGAATCTTGGCCAGGCGACTCTGAGCTTGAGGCCCAGGCTTACCACTATGAGCTTTAATATTCTCATCTGCATAATGAGGACAATAAAAGTCACCTTCATAGGGTTGGTGGAAGAATCAAATGAGATAATCAAGGTAAATTGCTTAACATCTCTAGTACCAATAAGTCTCAATAAATCAATAGATCTCTTTTCGGTAAGTCTCTGGAAAGGATGTCATTGTATTTATACATTATTCAGATTTTAGAAATTATGCCATATTAAAAAGAAAAAAAAGAGTTATACCACATCGAATTGAACTTTTAGTGATTTAAGAGCTAAAACTGATCCTTAAAAGCTTAACTATCTTGTTGGACTCCATTAAAAAATTTCTGACCTGAGAGTCTTTATATTTGGTCTGTGAAATTTACCCCATTCAGTTAATACTGGGGAGGCCATAGGTAATAAAACTATCCAAACTTATGGGAGCTGGTGGTTTTCTTTCATTGACATTCACAGAGATAATAGTGCTAGAGGGAGAGGGGGTTTTTGCAATATTACTCACAAGTCTATGGCTATGATTAAAATCTCTGAGATGATAAATTTATGGTGCTAAATTTCATGCATTTCTAACCCCTGTGACAGCAATAGGGTGTTGAGCCTCAGAACTCATTTTTCTAGATGTTTTTCACCCAAGTCCCATTCTCAAAAGTTATATGTTGAGAATTTGCCTTGCCTGTGGGTTGCCATAGAACAAACTTAAAATAACCATTCATGCCTAGAAATAAATTCTCCTATGATTTCTACTAACTAATTTGCTATTTGCACAAATGCATCAGTTAATCGTTCATATTTTTCTACTGGATTTATGTTAAGACATTATTCCACTGTAGCTTTTATCCACAAGATTATTCTGAATGATTTGTAGGCAAGGTTATATTATAGAGGTTTTTTGCTAAGAAAACAAAAAGTTATCCATTTTATTCTTGACATTTTTATCAGCTTACTAACACCAGTACTTAAATACTATTTTCTAAAGAATATAATCACTACTTCAGAAAAAGTTACCCATTTCAACTTAAAATTCTCACTCTCAAGACTCTAAATGCTTACAATAATGAAATAGTACTCACGATTGTTTCTTGACTTGTTTCTCAGCCTCAGGAAGTGTGCATAAGTCTGCATGGAAAGTGAATGTTTCAGCGTTAAACTCTTTGGGAACATATGCCTCATCAATTTCCAGGGCAGAAAAGCATGGTCGTCTGTTCACCAAGGATTCTGTGCAGCATTTGGTGACTCTCTCACTCACTGGGGTCTTCTCGTGCAACACGCACAACCGGTTCAGGACCACGGACAGCTAAAGGACAGGTGGGCGACCAGACATTCAAAAGAAGGATAATAAAAGTTTTCCATGAACTCCTACTTTCCAATGGACCAAAAGACGTGTTATATTTTAACTAGCAATATTGAATCCAAGGTTGATTTGAGGAAGTTATTTGCTTCACTTTAGAACTACAGATAATGGGGGACTTTTTAAAGTATTTTCTCTTTATGTCTACATTTTAACAATAGTTCCCTTGAGAAAATAATTGATTGAAATAATTTGACGTGAGTCCTGAGATATGTATTGGAGTGGGAATGAAACAGTCTTATATGGATACATATTTTTAAAAGACCCCAAAGAATATGAAAGGTTTTTTAAATGGCAGGATGAAACATTGAAAACTCATGGAATTTTTGTCAATTTATCATTTTGGGGATCTTATACAAATCCTCATTCAAGATAATATAGGTGACCAAGTCCTGGCTGCCACTACCAAATACACACACACGTGCATGCACACACATGTTAATTCACCCCTGTTTCTGAAAGTTAGCTTTGTCCTTACCTAAAGGCAAAAATTCATCATTATTCACTTATTATACTTAAATGACTCACATAGTCTTCAGCACAGGGCATTCTTTCTGAGTCAGGTTTCTTACAACACCTGGTGCCCACTTTTCCTAGTTTTCTTGAGACCTCCACGAGAGTTGGAGTTGACACTTGGGGTACTTTCTTGGTGTAACGAACTAAGAGCCTGTAACAAAATAGTTCATGTGTTTTCAGCCAGGCATGTCTTTCTCTAACATAGTAGGTCAAGCAGAGAACACTTAGGCAAAATTAACTAAAATGACTTTCCATCCATAAAATTACCTTTGTCTCCAGGTTGGTTGAATGGTATGGGGGAAGACCTTGTCCTGAGTAACTAGTTAAGCTTATCATTGTTTCCAGCTGTGCTGTATCATCTTAGGAAAGTGACTTATTATAATTCAGTGACATTAATATATTTATTTATTGCTTCTTTCTTTCCATAAAACCTACTGAGGTCTTAATATATATCAACACCATGCTAAATTTGAAAGGTATGTGTAAGTTTTTTCATCTATAAAACAGGAAAAAGTATATCTGACTCATAGGGATGGTGCAAGTATTAAATTAAAATAAAGTATGCAATCAACCTGGCATGGTATCTAGCACGTAATAATCACATACTAAGAATTCTAATCACCACTGAAAGTCATGTGTGACTACAATCTACTCGAGGGAAAAGATGATATCTGGTTCACTGTTGTTATCCCTAGCACCCATTGTTAGAAGAGTGGTAAAATATTTAAACCAAACAATAAATATCTACTGACTGATGTGTCTCTTATCTTTACCTCCATAGATAAGACTCTATGTGGATCAGGACATTAGTCTCTCAGCTTATATATTACTTCTTGAGCTACTATTATTCAAAGGCTACCACTTCCTCCTTTGTAAAGCATTGCTGCATTTTGTTTGCCCACAAGCTATTCCTTAACCTTCAAGGGGCATCCTCAGTTCCTACATTCCACGATTTGCTATTTTCCTTCCTGATCTCAAGAGGCCAACTTTTTAAACTGCACTCAAATATAAGCTTCTCCATCCCACTAACCATTTTATTTCTCCCTCTCTAGTCTTTCTTGATGGAAAGAGATTAGAAGTATATACTGTATTTTCATGATTAAAATTTCTATCATAGATGGTATATATATTAAGTCTTAAATAATTACAAGTTGATCAAGAAAAAAAATCAGCTGATAAACAAAAATACTTACGCATTTTGGAAGCCATACTCTCCAAGTTTTTCAAAAAGTTCACAGTTTGTTTTGACTAAATTCTGAGGCTCTTCCACAAGAGGTTTAAATTCATCAAGCTGAAAGATAAAAGAATTGTGTTGACAGAATTCCATCCGAGGACCACATGCAGGTTCTTTTTCACCACTCTAGGCAGAATGAGATCCTCCCTGCTTTCTGCCCAAAGTCATGTAATTAGATCTTTGATGCCAAATCTATCATAATATGTCCAAACTGTTTATTTTATTTGGCAAGGGTGTATAGTATAAGAGATTAAGACTACTAAGGCTGTGGAGTGCGACTGCTGGTGTTCAAGCCAGGCCATCCGACTCATTTTCTAATTGTGTAAATATACCTCCTATCTCCAAGCTGCAGAACCCTCACCACTAAAATGGAGATTAACAAAAAAGAAGGGAGAAAAGAAAAAGAAAGAAAGAAAATGGGCATAAAGATGGACTCACCTCGAAAATTGTTCTACAAACCACCTGAGCTAATGAAATTAAAACAGTGCCTGGCAGATAATAAAAGCTTAATAAATGATGACTATGACTGTATCATTATTATTAAGCCCTCTCTCCAGTTGGATTCTGAGCTCCCTGAGATAAGAGATTTTACCTTGGTCATCGGCTCTAGTCTGGTGCCTGGCATATAGTAGGTTCTTGATAGAGGAAAGAATTACTTTCCTGTGATTCTGAAGTTTGGAAACCACTACATATGCCAGGAGTGCTAAATATCTTAAACATGTTAAAATCCTCTTAGAGCATAGCTAAATATGGCAAAAATCCTCAAGGTTTCCTCTCCTTAATGACTTGTAAAGCAATTCCTACACTTTTTCCCCGAAATTTGAAAATATTCTAAATGAATAGATTTCACAATCTTCTTTAAGATGCTAATTCTTGATATTTGATAAATCTTGGAACCTGGTTAACTTTATATCTAAGTTAAGTCTCTTAACTAACATTTCAATTTATCAATTATTTTGTCCTCGGGAGTGTAAAAAAGAGAAAAAGCATGGTCAAGATTTTGTGAAATTAGAGATTGCTCCCTTCAGATCTTTCCTTCCTAGACTCTTCTAGGTCTTATTAACCATTCCATTTAAAGCTATTTTTTCCTGTAAGGTTTAAGAGCACAGGATTGAAACCATGTCAAGAAAAGATCTAAATTGCACTATGTAGCAATTCACATTCTTGGGTTACTTTTCTTTCTCATGATTAAAACTGAGGGTTCTAGAGGGGAGGGAGTTGCGGGGATGGGTTAGCCCGGTGATGGGTATTAAAGAGGGCACGTACTGCATGGAGCACTGGGTGTTATACTCAAAATGTGAATCGTGGAACACAACATCAAAAACTAATGATGTATTGTATGGTGACTAACATAACATAATAAAATAAAATTTAAAAAAAAATGGATCATCCACCGGAGCGCTACACTGTTTCCCTTTAAGAAACCTACCACTTTGCCATAGCAAGTAGGAGGATCATCGGTGGCGCAACACTTCTCCAGAGTGGCTTCATATTCCTTGGCAAGTCTCAACAGCAAAGAGATAGCGTACTCAGGATGCCTTCTTGAGTATTCATACAAAAATCTAATTCAGATGAAAATAAAATAGATCTCGCTGGGTAAAGGAGCAAGAAATATCACATAACTCACCTCAAGAGTAACTCATCTCCCACAGGTCTGAATTTGACTAGACCCCATGCAGGGAAGATTAGTGGCTAAAGGGTTGCAGTTCAGAATTAAAGCTACCTGCATTCAAATCCTGCCTCTGCCACTTAGTTTACTATATCACCTTAAGCAACTTATTAAAACCATCACAGCCTTAGTTGCCTTCTCTGTAGCACGTGGATAATAACAGTACCGATCTCATAAGGTGGTTTGTGGGAAATACATGATGTAATCTATGCAAAGCACACGCTGTCTGGCACATATTAAGTGTTTGATGAGTGACACCTGTTATTATTATGTATATTTTTATAATTTGGACTATACCTCAAAAGGGTTCTGATAGATAAATAGAGATGAATTCTTGAATTATTTTTTCACCTCTTTGTAGGAGTGAAATCTTGAAGGGTACACAATTATGTAAAATATATTAGGGCACATTACACTATTATAATCCAAAAATAAAAATGCAAAGTTTATCACCACACTTACTGACTATATATAATCATTTATTTTGTCACTTAATTTCATGCTGCCCTGCCATGCTACTGTACTCCTGGTCTGTTCAACCAAATATAAAGCACCTGGTAGCAGACTGCATACTTCCTCTTATACTTCCTTATATAGATAGATAAATGGCAGGTAAATAGATCCAGAAATACAGAGATGTAAAGATGTATTACGTATATTCACACATATCTATTGTAGTAAATTCATTCTTTGAATGAATAAATGAAGGAATAATATGTCCATAATTTATGTATACACAAAATGTTCCTAGAGGTATTTCCAGGAATATCCCTAAGGAGAAAATGAATGGGGTAGGAATAAAGATAGAAACTTTTATTTCTTCTCTTCCCTTCTCTATTCTCTTCTCTACTGATTGAGTTTTTGCCATAAGCATGAATTAGTTTATAATAATTTTTTAAACTAATTAATTTTTCCCCCAAAATTTAAAAGCTAGGAGAGGGAAGGATAAAGAAGCATGCAGACAACATGGAAATTGTAGCAATGTCAAAGGAAAGCCTAGTTTGTCTTCCTGAATCCTGAGGTCATATAAAAGCTATGGAAGGATTATTCTTTATCCACTTACGTGCCCAGGAACACATCTTTTGCCTCCTGATAGTTTTTGCAAACCTCCTTATCTTCAACAAAGTCAGCAGCTATCGGGGACAGGTCACCGGGCAACTCATCTCTTTCCACCTCAGTGAGGCAGTGGGATTTTTCCAACAAAGGCTTATCACAGCATTCCTTCATTTTACTAGAGATTGAATCCTGATTCTCACACATATACTTGGCCAGATCCGCCTATAAGCGAGTTGATAAAAATTTTTCAATGTAAATTGGCATCACTGCACTTTCTCCCCAGACCTTTATTCTGTTGGCAAAACATGTTTATTATATTCTAAGACCATACACATAAAACATGACTTCTATAAATACTTTCAGTCCATGTTCCTAAGACTAGAGACTCAGAACTACTAAAATATTTCCACTTAATTACAAAAAATGGTCAGTAACAGGGACCCATCTCGGTTATTATTAATTTTATATCTCGACTGTCAAGGCACTTAAGTTTCTAAATTAAAACTCAGTACTATTTTTCCAAATAGTCCCTTCAGGCATTTTGAAACCAAATAACTAAATAAAATGTGAGCGATCTTTGGATAATTAGTCAAGACCATAGTCACAGGCCCTACTTACACATGTAAAATCTTTGCCTTAAATTTTCCAGAAAGTATCCTGAGAGATTAAGATGCTGGTATTTGGCCATATTTTTAAGTTTGGAGAAATGTGATATCATGCTAAATATGTGTCTAGTTAACACAGATGGTTAACTGAGAGAGAATATAAAGGGGGCGGCGAACTACATAATTTCCCAAGATCTCTTCAGGTAGTAGCCCTTCTCCAACTCCACCCACCTCCCAAAAATGTCTTCTTAGAAATCTCCCTTTGTAGCAGCCATCCTACTTCAGTGTAAGCCTTTGTTCTCACAATATGACTAAAAGGGTTACAAATTAGTGAATGTGTTTGTCAGATCATTTAGTGAATGGGAAGCCAGGTTAAGAAAAAAAAAGTACCACAAAGCAGGGAAAGAAGTGAGCAGATTGGGCATAGAATACAATCTCAACCCACTGTCGGCTTCGAGGATAATACTAAGCAAATTCATCCTACCAACTGAAGCATGTAAGTTACTACAGAGCATACTGCAGATTCTTTACCCTGTCATCTGCACATTCAAGCAGGTCACCGTGGCAGCATTCCTTGTGGATTTTGGTAAGATCTGTCACCAACTTGGAAACTTCTGCAAAGTCAGCTTTGGGGAATTTCTGGCTCATGAGAGCTATCGACCTAAAAAGAAAATTCCGCCATGAAAACGTGATTAACACACAATATTTTATGTCAAAGCATTAGGAAAATAGTACTTATAACACGAAATTTCAGGACAAAATAGCATATAGATATAATTTGTGAAATCCATTTGTCCTTACTTTACTGCTAGTTCTGAACCACATGGTTATCTGAGGGCAAAATGTTTCCTTAGGGCAAATTAGCCATTATAAGAGTGTGTGTGGTGGATAGAAGGCCAGCGATTCATAAAAGTGGAAATCAAAGAGAGATTCAAAAAGAGGCAACATGTGGAGAGCCATCAGGTTTAGAACCCAGACCTGGCTTCTAGATCTGGCTTTATCACTCATTAGCATTGGGACACTAGGCAAGTTACGTAGCCTTTCTGACCCTCAGCCTCTACTTGGTCACAACAGCATGCTAAACTGCAGGACTGATGTGAGGATTAAATTAGTTAATCCATATGAAAGCCTTTTATAAACTGGAACCAAGACATTGATCCAGCACAGCATCTAAGCCTTCTGACAACATGGAAAAGGCTAAAATCCACATGCTTTCCCAAATCATGTCAGCGTCTCCTAATCGGATCAAAGCTGCTTCTTCCTCCAAACCAATCACAGCCTGTTTAATCGCATATCATTTCATGTTGGGGTTGTTTTGTTTACTGATTTAGGTAGTTGATCTTGGTGGTTGTGTAGGGGGTAGGGATGGCAGGCAAAGATAGCTCAAACTATGGTTTCTAGAGAGTTTACAGGATGTCTATTATTTTCATTTTATCTCCTGTTGCTGTGGATTCATTGTTGACTAGCAAGTGAGTGGTGGGGGAGGGGATTTTTCTTGGCTTAGAAATTGAAGGATGCTCCTAGAACCAGCTAAGTAATATAAAAACAGAGACCCAGACAAAACCAAGGGATTAACCACAGAGCTAGAGCTATGAGAAAAGGAGAACTAACCCTGATGGCTAAATTTAATTATCAGAACATAAAAGAACAAACATTTCCAGATAATTGGTGTTGTTTGGGGGGATAAAATTAAGAAGACCCTGACGACTGCTCTATAAAAAGAGTGGATCATTAGAATAAGTCCCTAGTCTTTCTAAATAAGTAGAAGTTTAAATCCCCGTCCTAGAATGACAAAAAAAATACCCCATAAATTCTGTGACTACCTAGAAGAAATATGATAAAAAATAATGAGAAATTGTCACTGATGCTCTGATTTTCACCACTGTTAAATTTCTACCTTCAAAACAACCAGAAAGATGTATGCAAAAGCACCACATAAAATGCCATATAAATGTACATTTTTGTCAACTGAACCATAACCATTTACGTCATTATAAAGATTCAAACTAAGTTTAAAATACCATGCTTTGAAGGCTCTATCTCCGAATTTCTGGAGGCTGGCACACTTGAATCTTTCTTTGGCAGATGAAACCAGTACTTTTTCCCTCAAAGCATCAATCTGCAAAAAGAAATTATTTTGGAAAAATTAGAAAAGGAAAATTCTATACAAAACACCCCTTCATTAGTTCAGATGAGACTGTGCCAAATTAAAATTTAAAGAGATAATTTACACCTAAATTCCCAAGTGCCCACTATTGGCAAATAATTATTTTGCAATGCAGGGGGAGCAAAATCAGCCTGGTCCTAGGGGAAGCCCCTAGGTAGTTAAGAACCGGAGTGGAGACATTGCCAAGGAAAAGGGAGCTGACAGGAAATGTGGAAGAACAGAGTCCACTAACATCCCAGAAAATATAACTTTGCTGACTTCTTAATTTTGCATATAATTTATCTTCACCCCTCCTCCACCAACTCTCCCAACATCATTAAACTCCCTAGAAGAGGTAGGAAGGTTTTTTTTTGACCATGTAAAGGACTTTGTATCAGAGACACGAATTCCCTAAATCTAGCCATAAGATGCTCAAAGTCTGAGGTTTGATGATGAATTGCTCCTCCTATTCTTCTGGGGAATACCTTGGGTGTCAGGCAGGCAGCTTTATCAGCAGCTTGGCAGCATTCTGCAAAAACTTGTTTATATTGCTGAGCATAGTAAAGGAGTTCTGGGGCATAAAAGTAAGGATGTCTTCTGGCAACTTCATACAGGTATCTACATTTTCAAAAAAGAAAAACAGGCAGTCACTTTTCTATAGCGAACAGTGGTATGGAAACCATTGTAATCAACCTTCTCATCTAATTTACCAGTTACTCTCAATTTGCACATGATGACCTTGCCTTTGTCATTCTAGAAGTCAGTGAAAGGTTGAACTTCTATATATAAATTGTGTACATACATATATATGTTTTATATATATGTACACACATATACACACACATAGATATAAAATAAACTTCGGTAATGCAATGGTTTTGACTAAAATGAAATCAGTTTGAGAATAAATACATATCTTCATAATATTTTAACACAAGCCAATCTCTGTTTTTCTTACACAGATCACATGCTGTTTCAATGAACTCCAAAAGATCTTGGATCCAATTCTTTTCACCATGGAGAATTTTGTGGCATCAAATATTACTGCTTTGAAAACTGTCATTAGAACAAACGCTTCTAAGCCTTAATATCCAGAATATTTTTTATTGTAGTACTGCCTATAATAAGTCTCGACCTTTGTAGTAATTTTTCATTTTGAAGCGTAAAGATCTGAGGACTTACTTGCCCAGAAACTTCTGTTCACTTTCCTGAAAGGCGGCGCACATGGCGTCCGGCTCCGGGGTCACCAGCGGAGGGAAGCCGGGGTTATCGTCTTTGTGAGTCAGGAAGCACTCATTTCTTTCAGGATCCTGTTTCTCACAGCAGTCAGCCAGCTCGCCATACTTTTCGCGAAGAGAGGCGACTGTACACAGTTTGTCTCCGAAGAGCGTGTGCTAGGTGGAAGAGAGCAGGCTTCGGGTCACCGGGGGGTATTTTATTTCCTTTGTACCCAAAGAACAGTATAAAAAATTGAAAGCATCGGTAAGCCTTGGTTGGGAACTCATGTACACGTACACTTTTTTCTCAGGTTTAGAGTTTCCCTTGATTTGACCATCCATGGGATTTTCGTAAGAACTGACCGTCACCCGATTCCTTAGGGTGGGTACAACAGAACGGCAGCGCGAAGCCATGAACACGGCTCCTATTTCTACCTCACGCTACAGGCTAGGAGAGCTGATAAAAAAAAAAAAAAAATCGGAGCACTTGGGTGGCTCAGTCCTTAAGCGTCTGCCTTCGGCTCAGGTCATGGTCCCAGGGTCCTGGGATCGAGCCCTGCATTGGGCTCCCTGCTCAGCGGGAAGTCTGCTTCTCCCTCTCCCACTCCCCCTGCTTGTGTTCCCTCTCTCGCTGTGTCTCCATCAGTCAAATAAATAAATAAAATCTTTAAAAAAAAATCAAGGGAAGATAATCCTCTAAGTTGCAGGTGAATTCACATTAGGGAAGAAAGTATTCAGATAGTTTCTCATTTGATCTGCTTCTTTCTGAAAGGTCCAACTTTTAAGGAGGTACCATTCAAAAACTGAGTAACACAATTTACTGTATATTATTTATTATGTTAAAATATAGATCTTTTTTAGTCTAGAAACATTTGCCTCAAAACACATTCCATTAAATGTATTCTTCCTGTCCCCATTAATTTTTATTATGAAAGTAATTGGATCTTCAGGAAAATATACTGCTGATGATGGAATTTATTAATTTTCCCCCAAAAAATATTTTTTAAAATTCATATTTACAGCGCTAACTCTGTGTTAAAAATACCAAGTTAAAGTACTGATTCTACCTTGAGGGAGAGATACATAGAGAGAAAGAAATAAGAGGGGGAAAGATTTCAGTGATACATAAACCCTGGCCTTGCCCTGGAAAGGTATATACAGGTCTGAGTGGTGAGAGAAACATAAACCTCTCCCTGAATTGAAAACCTACTGGAAATACCAAAATTTCAAAGTCCTTCAAAGTGAATAAATGCCCTGATTTTTTATTCTATGTAAAAATATAACTATCCCTAAAATGAGGACTATGTAACTGTACTATTATTTTACCTAAGAAACAAAATCAACACAGAAATCAGATGAGTGTCTCCGGAAGATAAAAACCACGCTCTCACTGTTAGCCTCAATGAAAAGAAATCAAACTTCAAATTCTAAAAAGAGACTTTTACAAATCACAAATTTCCATTTAAAGGCACTGTTACTGTTGTGTGTGGTCTTCATAAAGAAATGTCTTTAAAACTGTGGGTATAGCTAGAACATCTCTGTCATAGAAGAAATAATGGCTGCCCTCACTTTTGAGAGTTGCTTACAAATTAATAATTGAGGAAACAAAAGTGGGATTGCTCTTCCTTTGAAATAATCAGGACTACTTACAAAAAGAAGAAATAACACTCAAAATCAGAATGTACTTACAAGGGATTTGCCACAGTCGGCCCCTGACTGGTCAGCAGCACAACCTTTTGCAAACTCAGTCACTTCCTTCGCTAATTTCACATGATCTTCAAATGGGCACTGCTGGAGATACTGAGAAAAGGCAACCAGCACCCTGAAACAAAGGACATAGAAAAATGTAACATGGGGCATCTGGTTGGCTCAGTCGGTTAAGCTTCTGCCTTCAGCTCAGGTCATGATCTCAGAGTCCTGGGATCGAGCCCCACATTGGGCTCCTTCCTCAGCAGGAAGCCCGCTTCTCCCTCTCCCTCTACCCCTCCCTTCCACTTGTGTTCTCTCTCTCAAATAAATAAATAAAATCTTTTTTAAAAAAGAAAAATGTAACATGGTGAAATGTTAATATAAAGTAGCTTGCTACGCTGGACAACAAACTGTCTGTATATGTTCTATATTTTATACACCTCACTATTAGCCAGAAAGTCTATTCAGATCAGCTGTTATCTGAAGCCTAAACAGGCATATGTGGCTTCCTGAGCAAAGAGGACACGTACTTATACCATGTTTAAACACATGTGTGCACGTGTTAATAAAAAATATTAAAATGCTCTCAAGAAACCACAGACCTATTTACTAGGTAAAGGAATTTAGTAAGTGAGCTGCAAAAGGAACCATATATTAAAGTCTTTCTTACCATCAGGTTATGGAAGCGTTCTGGAGCTACACTGTCCAATACGGTAGCCAGTAGCCACACGTGGCTGCATAGATTTAAATAAATCAAAATTAAATGCAACTTTAATTTCTGACCCTCAGTTGCACTTGCCACATTTAAAGTATTCACTAGCCACATGTGGCCAGTGGCTACCTTACCGAACAGCACTGATATAGAATATTTCCATCAATGCAGAAAATTCTATTGGATAGGATGGTCCTAGAAGCTGGACTCTGATGACAAGGGAATATAAGAACTTCAGAGTAATAACCAACACTATTAGAAACATTAAATTTGACTGTTCAGTATTTTAACTTACAGGCCTCTGAAATGTTCTTCTCCCAAATCATTGTACCGATGAGCAACCTCACTCTGTTCTGGAGAGGAAAAAAGAAAAAACAAAACAGATTTGTTTACATTCTGAAGAAAACAACTTAGTTATGGTGTTACTTTTTGTGTTTCTCTCCATGTGACTTAGGTATTCATTTGCTCTAAAATATTGACCTCAGATCCCTACAGAATATCTTGAGATGATGATGAACTATTTGTTCTGCATTTAAACAGATGAGTTATTCAATCACTGATGATACTATTTGAAAAATCATTAAAATCGTTAAATACTTTTAGTTTTATATTCAGATTTGGATAAGATCTAATGCTCTTGTGGTGTCTACTAACAGCTTCTGGGAGGACAGTCTGAAATGAAAAATATAAATACAAGTTCTGTTTATAAGATGAACAGTACAGGTTTTTGTTTTTTATAAATCAAGGTGCAATAGCCTTTGGGAATGTGGAGCTATGAATTCTAACATCAACTATATTCTGTGAAGTTTAAGTCACTCTGTCTAAGTTCTTTCAGGTGCAGAAGGAAGTTACAGCTACTAAATCAATTCTCACCATTTTTTTTCACCTAGGATGTTAGAAATGTATTAATAAGATAACTTCCTGGGCACCTGGGTGGCTCAGTTGGTTAAGCCTCTGCCACCAGCTCAGGTCATGATCTCAGGGTCCTGGGCTACTCAGCGGGGAGTCTGTTTCTCCCTCTCCCTCTGCCTATCCCCCACTGGTGCTCTCTCTCTGCTCTCTCTCTCTCTCAAATAAATAAATAAAATCTTTTTTTTTTAAAAAATAACTTCCTGAGGGATCACAAATACAAAATATCATCACCACCTAGAAATAAATGCTAAAAGAAAACACTTCTTTAAAGATGCAGGGTTTTCTAAAATTTTCTCTCACTAGGAAAATAAAGTAAAAGCTGAACAATAGGAAAATAGAATTCTTACGTGCTTCTCGACGCATCACGCCCCTGGAATAAGCAGAGCTAAAGAGAAAGAGTAGGGAAATAAAAGTTACCCACTTCATTGTGCCAAAGGCTTGTGGGGTTGATACAAGAGAACAGGTAGGACGAACAGAGGGAAATTTGCACTAATATACTTCTTTAACCAATAATTGTAGATTATTAACCAGACTCATCTTTGTATTTCATTGGCCCCCGACTGATTACAAAATTCATATTATTCTTGCCAAAAAAATTGTTTGACTAAATCCGTTGCGTATGTTTGCCATCTGGACCTGTTTTCTCCACAAGACCTTGTCAATTCATTAGTTATGTAAAACACCTTATCAAATTTTACATAAGAGTTTAAACAATTTGTCCCTATTATTCATTACCATGTTCTTTATCTGTGATTTACCATTTGACCATTTTAGTTTTTAATATTTGCAAAATTCTAACCAAACCAATGATTTAGCTTGAAAATAAGACTTACTAAAAGAGCTAAGGTTTGAACTGTATCTATTATTAACTCCAGGTATGCTTTTGTCAATAAGTAATGAAAAATTCACACACACACACACACACACACACACACACACACACGAAGGCTCCCATGTCTTTTTCACTCTCCTAAAATTGTTCTGTCTAAAAAAAGCTGATGTTGCCTCAAGTGCAAACTAAGAAAAAGCCACAGGAACAATAACAACGAAAATGGATGTTCAGAAGTTCTACACTCCCATCCCAGCTCTGGCCCACATGTGATTCAGGTCCTCTGGTAGGATACTTAGATGTAATGTAGGCATATCTTGTGGAATTTTCAGTTAAGGAGACATGGGGAAGAAAATGGGGGTGCCTGGGTGGCTCAGATGGTTAAGCATCTGCCTTCGGCTCAGGTCATGATCCCAGGGTCCTGGGATTGAGTCCCGCATCGGGCTCCCTGCTCAGCGGGGAGTCTGCTTCTCCCTCTGCCTCTCTCTCTCTCTCTGTCTCTCATGAATAAATAAATAAAATAAAATCTTAAAAAAAAAAAAGAACGCAATGACAGTAATGACAATCTTTGCCATAAAAATATATATAGGATAGGAGCGTCCTGGTGGCTCAATCAGTTAAGTGTCTGACCCTTGATCTCAGCTTGGATTTTTATCTCAGGGTCGTGAGTTCAGGCACCATGTTGGGCTCCACACTGGGCATGGAGCTTACTTAAAAAAAATGTAGGTTGAGCCTTGATTACACCTCTAGAGGTTGTAAGAATCTTAAACCTTCGCCAGTTACCATATTCTTTCCATCCCTCCTTCACACTTTTTTCCTTTCTCCTTTTTTTTTTTTTTTAAGATTTTATTTATTTATTTGACAGAGACAGAAATAGTGAGAGCAGGAACACAAGCAGCGGGAATCGGAGAGGGAGAAGCAGGCTTCCCCTGGAGGAGGGAGCCCGATGCGGGACTCGATCCCAGGACCCTGGGATCGTGACCTGAGCCGAAGGCAGACGCTTAACGACTGAGCCACCCAGGCACCCCCTTTCTCCTTTTTAATGAAAGCGTCACATGTTCTTCTTTAATGTTACTTTTTTATTTCAAAATAAATTTAACATTGTGTCTGAAAACAAAGCGAAGCAAAGATGATTATCAAAAACATTTTTTCAAACTGCTTCCCTTATTCTCCCCACTCAAGATTCTGATCTCTACCTATGAAGGGCTACTCTATCTCTGCCCTTTTGCTTTAAAGATAAAGAACGACACATTTCAACCAGTAGGAAAATTGACTTTCTCTGATACTACAAAACAATAATTAGTTTCAAGCCAGTCATTTCACTTAATTAAATAACTGAGTCAGTCAAAACTGTCAGCCAAGTGCCCTATGGCACAGAGGCACAGAGACTAACAAATACTGAAGAGAAGCATTACTTTTTTTCAGTCACATGATGGAAGAAATATACTTTCTATGATCATATTTTATTTTATGTCATTTTCAGGTATGGGTGCTAATTAAATAAACACAGAAGAGACTGTAGATACATAGAAGATAGGAGATAATAGATAATAGATGGTAGATAGATAGGTGATAGATGATGATAGATAGATAGATAGATAGATAGATAGATAGATAGATAGAAGATAGATGGCCTTTTCCTAAGCAGCACAAGGAGTCCTAATAATGGAGTCCGACTTATCTTTTATGCCACAGATGAACAGAAATAAAAGAATGTCTGCCTGCAGAATTATTCCCATTGGAGAAAACTATTTTATTTAAGTCTGAAAACCTATATTAGAAAAGAAAAAAAGTATCCTATCCTAGCTTTCTAACTTTGTAAATAGAAAAAAAATTTTTTTGGTAAATTATATTTATTTTTTTTGGCTTCTGAGAAAGAGTAGGCATCTTTTATTTGAAGTCAGTGTCCAACCATAGCTTTTTCTTTATATAAATCCTTGGGGAAGGCCTGATCAAACATGCTGTCCTTATCACTGAACGTAATTGTATTGCTTATTCACAAAACCAGGCCTTTGTCATGCACACATATACTTTGTGCATGTTCTTTCATTTAACAAATGAAAATAATATTAGTCTCTCCATCTACTTTGTATAGCAATACTATACTGTAATACAATGCTAAATATAGAACACCAAAAAAATCAAATTCATCATTGTTCTAGAAACTTAGAATTGATCTTCCTATATTTAATGAAGATCCCATAGTTTTCAATCTCATAATCTCAAATATAAAATTGAAAACACTTGAAAGAATTTTCCCTTACAGTGTCAATAAGGAGTTTCCATGGATGTATCCTTATTAGAGATTAATAGATGGTTAAGAAATTAAAACATTTAATTCATAACATTATCTGCATACTTAAAATCCATCTTAATTAATAAGAAACCTTGAACATTTACATTTTGTGGATTCCCAAAGTAAGAGTTCCTATATTTATCTTCTATTAGTTCTGCACGTACATAAAGAAATAAAGCCACAAAATTGTTAATTATTTCTAAATCTTCTGTTCTTCAAGCTTTTAAACTCTTATGTCATCAAAGTTAGTCATCAAAGGACTCTGGCATGCGAGTAAATGTAAATGTTTAAACCAGGAGTTATAAATATGGCCTACAGAATCTAGTTTCTAAGTAAATAGGAAACTAGCTCCAATGACTTTTAAACATTTTTCCATTTTTGTGGGAGAAGTTTAAAAAGAGTGAGTGGTTAAGAAAATTACTTCATATGGAAAAAATAATAATATACTGATCATTTAGAAGAGAAAAAAATAGCTCAATTGAAATATAACTGGAAATTAAATCTGAGTCTTAATCCCTTTTGTCCTGTGTTTTGTTTTGTTTTGTTTTTTGACAGGATGGAAAAGGCACAGTTTTCAAGCATATGAAACATCTCCTTGGACTAGTCCCTCACTTCCTTGTCACCTTAAACCTATGCCTTTCTACTACCTTCTAGATCCCAGAAGGTTCTCAGCAAGTCATTCAAACCAGGTTTCCCTCTAGCTGGCCATCTTCTTAGTCCAGTCCTTAATGCTATCTCCCTCTGAAATAGATTACTACTTCTCAATTACCTTCTCCTGGAAATAAAATGGAACATGCATAAAAATGTGAAAAAAAAAAAGTCTAATAACAGTCTCATATTTTAACAGAGACTTTCTAGAAACAACCGCTTAACCCAAAGTCACTCCAAAATACAAGAAATTTGGATCCATTTGGAAAGATAATTAGTGACAGGAAAATCTTTCCTTAGCTTTCTTCCTACTATCCTATGGACACATGCAGATCCTTGCTATCATGAAGGACCTGGACTGCTATGTAAGGAATACAGAAAGGAGACCAGTGAAAGACCATGAAGCATCAAACTAACCAGTTGAAACACTTAAGCAGTTTAATTTCTTATTCACTTGTGAAGGTACATTTCCCAATAAAAAACAAGATAATAAATTGTCCAAGATGTATAGACTTTCATAGATGTTTCTAACACAAATTAAAAAATTGTAATGTAATCCAAATATCAGTTGTCCCCTTATCTTCCTCCATAAGCCAGTGTTCCCCAAAATACCCTCTTGCATTAATGAGAAATGTAGAATTTGCTGGAGATATCACAGAAGACAATGGAAGGAAGGAAGAACACTTACATTATAAAAACCACACTAGATAACCATCTTTGGTTTGTTCCATCTCTTAAGTATCTCTCTCCAAAGCTCCCATGACAGAAGGATCCCTTTTTCTGCCTTTCCTCATGGTACAATGGGCCTGTGGAATATACTTCAAATTTCACAACTTTTTACTATGCAGTTTAATTCAGCTCAATGTCAGTTTCTAGCTCTGAATTCGAACACACAGATCCATATAGACCTCCATGCCGTATGGGTCAATTGGATGAAATTATCTTTAAGAACTCTTCACCTTGAGCATTTTCTGATTCCATATTTCCAATGTAACAGTCTTATAGAATGACAAAACGGACTCACTGGTAGAAGGTAGAATTAATAGATCAAGTTAGGGAATTGAGATCCAAAGTTGAGAATTTATTCATTGCTGACCTGCCCAATGGCTCCTCGGGGATTACTCTCTATCTAGTTCAGGCTGTCATTTTTAAGAAATAAAAAGATCCTTTAAACTTGCCTTGTACAAGTAAAATGACACTTTCCCATATCTTTTTATCATTTTTTCCATTCCAAGAAAAATATAGCTAATGTCTGAAAGCCATGCTTATTCATTCTTCATATACGTTAACAACCAATAGAATCTATAAACATATAAATTGAAGTTGATGCTAGTGATTCTTCTCTCATAATAATAGCTACAAATGGAAATCAAATAAATGAATACGCTACTGAGAGTTTAAATGTGCTTAGTCTACTCATAGTCTATATTTTTTTCCAAACATAATTCAAGAGACTTACTACATAAAAAGAGGTTAATTTAAAGTTACAAAATTGGACTTCTTAAAATCTCTTGCAAAACAACAAAGGTTAGGTAGCTAAAATATTCCTGTGCTAAAACTTCAGGGATCATACACCTGAAACTAATGTAACACTGCATGTCAACTATACTCAAATTTAAAAAACTAACACAATAAATGAATGGATAAATAATCTGTGATACATATGTGTGTGTGTGCACACATATATGTATATATATAATGAAA